AAAGTTAAAAAGGTAAATTTTATATCTCTCTACCACCGTAAATGTTCTGGCACACAACAATTTGAAAGGGGATCTGGCTAAGAATATTGTGCAGGCAGGTATTTATCCATTTCATTTGTCTGATTAGTTATTGTTGGAATGTATCTAAGACTTTTCAGGCAAGCTTCATTACAATGGGTGAATAATTCCGAACTTTCACCATCTCTCTCTTCTTTCTCTCTGTTCGTTTCATTACAAGGCATTATGACCGAATTTGTGGGTTTGTTGGCTTTTTTGTATAAAAGTGTCCTTATGGAATTATTCTTAAGGGTGGTGATCAGATTGGAAGCTTGTTTTCTGCTTTATTTGTGACGCATTATTAACTGTTAATCTTAGAGATGATCTATGGACTTTTGATCATCAGTTCAGGGCTGCAAACGAACTGAGCCGAGCTGAGTATGTGAGTGTTCATGTTTGTGTTCATTTAATATCAGCTTGTTCAAGTTTGGTTCATGTTTGTTCGAGCTTTATTGTTTGTGTTCATGTTTGGTTCATTTAAATTAATGAGTGTTCATGTTCGGTTCATGTTCAGTTCATGTTTGTTCGTTTAGTGCTTATCGAGCTTGTTCGCGAACATATTTAATAAATTTATTTTAACTATCAAACAAATACGTTCATGAACATATCTATGAACAAACACATTTATAATAAAAGCAATTGTCTATGTAACAAAAGCGATTATTTATATTTATTAATTTTATAGTCAAATATTGATTATTTTTATCTAGCTTATTCACGAGTTCAAAATCAAACAAGAATCAAGCTTTTATCGAGCTTAATGTCGAGCTTGTTCACGAACTTCAAATGATGTTGTTCGCGAACATAAATGAGCCGAACGCATTAATGTTCAAGTTTGTTTATTTAAGAATCGAATATTTAAAATATTGTTCAAGTTTGTTTGTTTAGCTAATTAAACGATCACAATCGAGCTTCAATCGAACCGAACAACGAGTAGCTCGTCGAACTTTTGGTTCGCTTGCAGCCCTAATCAGTTGAGTCTTTTTCTTTTTATTTGGCTTCAGAGAACCATTGTGATCATAGAATGTACTAGCTGTGGATGCTGATGATGAATTTCTATAAGGTAAATTTCTTCATCAGCGTTGTCGATGCAGTGATGATGATGATTGTAAAAGCTATAACATTACCTCTGGACTCATTTTCTGTGGCTATGATTAAACTCTATCTTTTTGTAATGTCACAAGTTGGCCGTTAAAAGAGAAGCATTAAATTAAGTGTTACAGAGATGAGGACACTCAGGTGAATGATTGGCTTTACATAATAAAATTAAGTTAATTGTTGTAGAGTTGAGGATACTCATATGGATGAGTGGCTCTACACTTAGATGTATACGTGAATGGTTGAAGAAGCTCCAGTGGTAGGTAATATTGGAGAGTAGCCTTAGATGGTTTTGTGACATAAAATGTCGCCACTCTGATGACCTAGTTGGGAGAGTAGATGTGATAGATTTGGTCAATGCTAAAAAAGGTTGGCTTAAAAAGGCTCGGCTAGAAAGTATTAGAAATGAGTTTTTTTACTATATTTAAAAAGATTGTCGAGAAAAATGATTCATGCAGTTGACCCCATGTAGTGAGATAAAAGGCTTGATATTCTTGGTTTTTTTTGTCCCTATAAAGTTGCAAATTTGCTCCCCTCAATTAACTACAATCAATTTTATGGAGTTTTCTAAATCGTTTTCATTTGCATTTGAATGTCTTAATGATGTCGGAATTTGACGATCTTGGGCTCATTGGATTCGTCTCATTGAGCCGCTTGATTCGGCTATAGGTATGTCTCTTTTGGTAATCATTTAGTCATCCAATTTATAGTTTGAAATTTTCAAATATGCTTCGAGTCTTTGATTTTGACCCATTTGGGCTATAGATTGAGTCGAATTTGGTGTTGTTGGGTTCATATTTTTTAGACTTTCAGTTTGATTGTAAATTTACTGAAATCGGAGTTCGGATGGTCCCAGATTTAATTTCAGAAGTTTCCAACTTGATTTTTCCTTGAGAGATTCATGCCCAATCTTGATAATTTTTTGATGATATATCAGTTTTCATTTGGATTTACATGTCAGCTGAAGATATTAACAAATGATTTTGAATATTAATTGAGTGATCAAATGATCTCTTTCATATTTGGAAGCATATTCTTGGGCTCATATATTTTCGTGAAAATTTAAGACAGTAAATTTTACATCTCTCTACGGGGCACACAACAATTTGAAAGGGAATATGGCTAAGAATATTGTGCAGGCAGGTATTTATCCATTTCATTTGTCTGATTAGTTATTGTTGGAATGTATTTAAGACTTTTCAGCAAGCTTAGCACATTGTTTCATTTTATAAAAGGCAGAAAAAACGGTAGTGCATTTATCATTATTATTATTAGCCTTTTTCTTACTTATTTAGTCACATATTCATCTTATCATTCTCAATTTTACCATATCCAAATTATATTTTAATGGCCTTTCTATTGCCCAACATTAGAGTACGTAGAACTTTGTTGGTCTAATTTTAGTATAGTTTATCTTTTGATCTTTTTTATATTTTTATTTTTTTATAGGTATCAGATAATTATTTTATACTACTAATAATTTAACTAAATATTTAAGAGGAAGCGGTGGAATCTTGCTGGAGAGGACCGGGCCAGTGGCGGCGTATGATGGAATGTGAAGGAGGAGAGGAGCTCGTGATGAGATTTGAGGATTTAAGTGAAATCCGTCCAATTCAAACAGCATTGAAACGGGTTCCAAGGTTGGCAATTTTGATTTCGGCAGAATTTAAGTTAAATTCTGTTCGGATGTTTCTACTAAACATCGCTTGGGCATGGAATCTTCTTTAGACAACTTTGACTTGATTTATATTCATCCCTTCGGAAACGTGAGTAAAGTTTCTTCATCAGTCTTGGAGGCGATGAAGTTGACTTTCTCACTTGCCTTCTCTCTCTCTCTCTCTCTCTCTTTCTCTCTTTCTCTCTCTGTCTCTGCTACTCTGAACTCCTCAAATTATCTTGGTACTTAGACGATGCAATTACGCCCTGATGGTTTCAATTCTGCATAGTTTCTTATATGATTGCGTGCATGTCAAATGAAGTAGCATGTACTGCTGCATTTATACAAAGAATTCTTTATATGGATCATTTGGTTTCTTGAATTGGGAAAATATGCTACCGTCGAAGTAACTGAAGAAATTGTTTTAATTTAAAACATAAAATAAGTGAAAATAACATAATCATTTTTATGATCATCTTCTTCTTCATGATTATAGTGGTTGTATTTGGGTTAAAACCCATGGTAAGGTGATTCATCATTCCCTACTTAAAAAAAAAAAGGGGTGCAATACGAGAATTTCCCAGGAGGTCACCCATCCTAGTACTACTCTTGCCCAAGCACGCTTAACTGTGGAGATTTGATGGGATCCGGTGCACTAGTTCTGGTATGATCGCACCATCCATCATTCCCTACTTCAAGGATTTGTTATTATTTTTTAGGGTTTGGTTATGCTTGAGGATGATGATGTTGATAGGGAAAGGTCTCACGCTAAGGGCTGCAAATTGTTAAGGTGCTGATTGACAACGATTTGGCCTTGGTTTGCATGCATATAAAAAATTTTTCAATGCATTTGTTTTGACTAATTATTTTTGGCATTTGTAAGAATTTTCTTTTCACTCTTCTCCTCGAGCTAATGATGATGATCACTCAAAAGAATCTTTTTGAGGTATTCCTTATAGAATTACTCAAAGCATTTCTAAGGGCTTTTAATGCACAATGTTATTTCAAACAATTTTTTTTGCTAATTTGTATTGTGTTGCTTCACAATAAAATGGTCCTGTGTGTGGAAAGTAATTTTCTTTGCCATGGAAAATATTTATTACGTAGTTGTAATCCATCGTCTTGTACAGTGCTCATTGTTCTTCGCTTCTGTTGTTGCTGCTGCTGCTGCGTACCATAGACAAGTACTTGATTTTCTTTGAAACGGTGGGTTGCACCCTAATTCTATCTTGTTTAGATGCTATTCTCTGAATGTTTATTTTTGTCAGGCTTTATCTATATTTGTGGCAGTGCTGTAGTGGGCTTTAGCTCAATTTAATGCCAGTTGCAGCCCAATGATGAAATTCGCTGGTCATTCATGCAGTGAACATTCTGGTTATCCATGTAGTAAACTCTGTGTTCTTGCAGCGTTTGGTAACAGCAAAAGCTAAGAATAAAGTGATAACCATTGCATGAGCAACTATATATATCATCAAAAATATATCTTGATCGGGCACAAATCTCGATGCAAAATCAAGTTGGAAACTTCTGAAATTAAAATTGGGATATTTGAACTCCGATTTCAGCAAACTTACAGTCGAACTGAACGTCTCGAGAATACGAACCCAATGACACCAAATCCAACCCAATCCGAGCCCAAATGGGTCCAAATCAAGGGTTAGAAGCGCTGTTGGGAGGTTCGAATCACAATTTGGATTACCAAACGGTTTTCAAAAATGACATGCTTGTAGTCGAATCGAGCGGCTCGACGAGACGAATCCAACGAGCCCATG